AAGGAGGAAGGAACACACAGTCGCATAAAATCGACATTTTCCCATAGTAAATATATGATTTTTGGATGAAGGGGCGCGAGGAAGGAACGAAGTGAAGTAGCGAAGAGTGAGTATGGGGCTTTAAGTTTATGACAAAATGCGCAAATATGCGCAAAAAAACTTTTTACAGCCTATAAGGTAGATAATTATATAAGGGGAAAAAAATATATTTATAATGGGAAATGAGGGGAACAGTAATAAAATCGATTTAAAACTACGTAAAATCGTGAAAAATAAATGCGAAAGTACATTCTCCATTTCTTTGCATAATTCTTTATCCAAAATCAAATAAAAAGTACATATTTTTACTTAAATATTAAATACATACCTCCAGAATTATCATTCATGGTAAAAAATACTTTTCCAAAATTACAGAATACTAAAAACCGTAATAAAAATTTAACAAATTATGTTTAATGTTTATTAACACAATGGTATTCCAAGTGACAGTTTGTTTTGAAATTGTTGTCAAGTAACAAGACGACACTTTTTCAACTTTTTTTCATAGCCAACTTGTTTTTTGGTGTTTTGCCTGTACATTTGAAACATTTCTGACAGGGTAATTTGAAACTGGTTTTTATTACTTTTTGCCGCATTTCGCCGAAAATCGACCAGCGTGCGTCGTGTTGTGTCGTGACAATTTAAAATGTTAATAAAACTGCCGAAAAAATGTTAACGCGTAAAGGAAAGCGTAATTAAGGCGTTGTTAGGGGCAATACCATTCAATAACTCAACTTTCCCAGATATTACCTCTCCCGAAACAACATTGTATAGCTTCATAGTTTCTCACACCGATTTGATCAATAGAAAAAATGGATTCAAGTAGTTCGACGAAACAAATGAGTAAACAAAGTGCATAGTCAAAAAATTAAATAGACATATACAGGGTGCGTCTCAAAAGTGGCTCACCCCCTATAACTTTTTTATTTTTTCAGATTAAAAAACGAGATTTGGTTATATAACATAAATTAGGATTGATAGACGTATTCAATAATTGTTTTCGGTCACTTCCTGTTTCACCGGAAATGAATACAACTTTTGATTTTTAAATGGCACCCTCGGTATTTTCTTACTTTATTCGATAGAAAATGACGCTCATAGACTAATGTCATATACTAGAGATAGATTGGACACTGATATAAAACAAATGGGTTGGTCATTTAGAGCCACCTGGTGATCCGGAAGAAACTAATGGAGAGTTTTGGCATAACATAATTTTAGCGTTCCGTTACTTATTAACGCTAACTAACACGGTATCGTTATTCAAGCGCAAAATTATTCCTTGTAAAATATAAAATAATAAATATAGATTTTTTACTGCCATTTTATGTTTTATTAGATCATTAGAAGTGTAACATAATTAAAACTAAATTAAAATACATACATACATTTTAAACACCAACAATAGAGCACATAGCGCCTATTTCATGATTTAATAAATAAATTATAATATAGCAAAAATATTATAGACTACTAATTATAACTGTTACTAAAAATACTATACATTACCAACTATGTACTTACTTATTTATGATTAAACTATTTTTTTTTAATTTGGTTCATAAATTTTTCATTTCTAAAATGTCAAAATGACTTTAATAAAAAAGTTTTAGTATCTAACACGAAAACGATGATCGACTCTAAATATCAGAATGCACAAACTAATAAAAACACAAACTATAAACACAAATCACTGAAATCACCGAACTTTGCGACAAATCAGGAATATCTGAATTAATAATTATTTAAATAATGATTATGTAATGATTTAAAATTAACTTGACTGATCACCAACATTTTGTCAACTAGACAAAAACTAGACCATAGACAATAGTCAACATAGGGACTGTCATGTCATCTTCATATATAAATTAGAAACCTGTACTTTAATGTCTTTTGCGCCGCCTGGCGATGCGGAAGAAACTAAATTTGGAGTTCTATAAAATTACCATTGAGTGTCTAGGGCATGATGACGCTCTCAATAGAATGACATATCATATGTTAATTTTTGACATCTTCGCATATGGTTTATTTAAAATTGTAACATGGCGGTTCATAATAATAATCTGACTCGAAATACCAAGTGTGTGATGCCAAATTATTCATAAAAAATGCTTTTTCCAAATAAGCTAATGAGCCACCCTTGTTCCGTTTGAAAAAAATGAGATATGAATAAAAATACGATTTAGACATCTTATAACGGGTCCGGACAAGACAGGAGAGAATTAGAAAGAAGTCATTAGACACTCAAATCTATTTTTCCAAGGCTCCTTGATTAAAAATTACACTCTAGATTGAAATTTAAAATACGATTTTTTTTAAACTAATAAGTCAGAAGTTGACATAGAATATTCTATTCAGAGTGTCATTTTCTATCGAATAAATTAAAAATATACCGGCGATGTCATTTAAAGACCAAAAGTTTTAGCCATTTCCGGTGAAACAGGAAGTGACCAAAAACAACTAAATACGTCAATCAATTTTAATTTATGTCATATACTAACATACCAAATCTCGTTTTTTTATTAAAGAAAATAAAAAAGTTTATAGGGGTGAGCCACTTTTGAGATGCACCCGGTACTATGAGAGGATAAAATATAATTTGCAATATTAATGATATACTTTTTTTAATCAACTAGTTATTAAATGTTTTATGAACATATTCTAAAATTATAATTACGTACCTTTAAAAATTTTTGTTATAGCTGACAGTAGCCTCAATTATGCCCACTAGCAAAACCGGTGATTAAAACTATGCTCGCTACCGTAGTTGAACTCATTTAAAAAGTTTTTTTTATCTCGAATAATAAATTATAATACAAGTCAGACTTTCTGAAGATATCAAAATATTGAGCGCGTTCAGAGACGGTCAGCATCTGAGTGGCTGGGTAAGCAAATTCTCTAAACGATCTATTCTGACGAACCGCAACAGTCAGCCGCTGTGCAAAATTCTCAGGGGTAAATATTTAGGATGAGACAAGTCAGCCTTGATCTATTTCCTTATCTGTGGTCAACTAATGTAAAATAACTTCAATTTTCTCAGTTTATTGTTTATTTTTTATGGTTTGTTGAAGTTTATAGTCAATCGTAGCCGTAGTTAATCGAATCTTTACAAAATAGGAGATATTGGTTATCAAAAAAGTTACAAAGCAGTAGGTTAATCTAAAACGTTCGAAGACAGTTGTAAATAGAGATCGAAGAAGTTGAAGAAATAAAGAAAATTCAACTTGATTTCCATCTCAAGTCGAATTTTCTGAATACAACGAAAATAAAGAAAAAATACTACTTTCTGAAAAAATCTAAATCAGCAAAATAACTTTTTATTCTAATTATACTGTCAGATCGAAAAAAAATGCGCCCAGTTGGCTTAGAAATGACGATCGTTAACGTCCCTTTTAAGAAGTAATCTTACATAAAACTACACCTCTCTCTCTCTTCAGTAATTTTATTTGTACCATCGAAAAAAATGCGTAAAAGGTGACTTGGTTGAACTGCCAGTTCCTGTTATTTTAAGTTATTTTGTTTAATTTGCTCTGTTTAGGTGCATAGGTAAAATTATTTATAAACTGTTATTTCTTAGAAATTTAATGTTTAATACTGTATTGTCAAATAATATATTTTCAAAAATAATTTAAAAGAAATTATTAAATGATCAGCCAGTAATAATTCATTTTTCAAAGTAATTTTTATTCTAAAGACTAAAGATCGATTATAGACCGATTTGAAGACGATTTATTTATATTTCTCTCAAATTTTTACAGTAGACAAAGAGCGCATGAGACAGCTACTGTTTCTTGTTCTTTTTGCTGATTTTTGCCGTTTAAGGAATATCGTAAAATGCCATAAATCAATTGTCAGCGAAATTCTACGCTGCATGTCAGCGGCTGTGATCCCTGAACGCGCCCATTTACTCTTTTATTTTTATTTTTAGAATTTTCACAAATTATACTTCCTAACACTTTTAGAATAATTTAATAAATTTTTCGCATACTCGCTATTTAAACCGGTGTATATGTATATGCTAGTTTTTTACGATATTATCCGATGGTGGCCGGGCACCGGCGGAGAATGCACCAAGTCTGTACAAGAAAAAGTGACCAACTCCATTATTAACAAATGAAGAGCACAGGGGAAAAACGATGTGTGTCCAAAAACGATAAATGTTCAGGAGAGCGTTTTTTTTAATTCAAATTACGCGTAGATTTTGAAAAGGAAGAAGGATTTTTTTGTGGAAGAAGAAAAACATTATGCATTAAAATCAAATTAGCAAAAAATGCACTTGCATCGTTTTTGCCGTGTGCTCTTCAAATGTATTATTTACGTGTATTTTATGTTTTTTTTATGTATGGACTTGAACAATTGTGTAATATCATAATATGGAGCTTAGTTACAAAAAATTTTGTTGATCAATATTTTTTTGTAAAAATATATGATGTTTTAAATATAATATTGTAAAAAAATTAAATTAAAGAAAAATTTGTATACCGACGATATATACCTTTAGCAATCTTTGAAAGAGTAACTAATAAAGCACTGCTGGCCCCAGTATCGTGGCCCATAACGGCAATTATCAATAATAATATAATTAATATATAATTTTTAATAAAGCACTTTGGTGGGAATCCCCACAAAATGATTCCCACCAAAGTGCTTTATTAAAAATTCGGAAAATTAAAAGTAATTTTTTTTAAAAAAATGGATATTTAAAAAATAAAAAATTATTATTTTTGGAATTTTTAAATGCTATAGCTCCATATCATGTTCATAATAGGTTTTATAATATTCCATTAAAACCATGGAGGCTTTAAAAAGACCTTTCAGTCTCCGTAATTAAAAATGTAGAATCAGCAAAATAATAAATTTTGTTGATCAATATTTTTTTGTAAAAATATATGATGTTTTAAATATAATATTATAAAAAAATTAAATTAAAGACAAATTTGTATACCGACGATATATACCTTTAGCAATCTTTGAAAGAGTAACTAATAAAGCACTGCTGGCCCCAGTATCGTGGCCCATAACGACAATTTTGTGGGGATTCCCACCAAAGAATCCAATGTAATTTCGCACCCACTGAACTGCCAAAGCCATATCCCACAAGGCAACATTTCCAGGCATGTGTTTTGAACCTGTGCTCAGGAAGCCAAGAGATCCCAAACGATACTGAATGGATACTACTACTAGACGCTGACCTACGAGATGTCTCACCTAAAATTAATATAGTTTTAATCTAAAAGATTTGTTTTTGTTGCGAATATTTTTTGAGTTACCCCATACTGTGAGGCTGATCCGTATCGGAATCCGCCTCCGTGAATCCATACTATTACAGGAAGGCCTACAAATATTTGGAATCCAGTAATATGACCTAAAATACTACAAAAAAAAAATAGAAGACATGATACCTTCTGTCCCTGAAGGCAGGTCTGGAGTGAATACATTCAAAGAAAGGCAATCCTCGCTACCAATTACTCTGTTTCTACCTGGTAGAGGTTGTATACAGGGCGGTGAAAAAGTAGTGGCATTTACCTCGCCTTCTAAAAACTTTTGCTTGGGTCTCTAAAAACTCATACAAATAATACTTATATCTAACAAATGGTTTTTAAATTTAACTTTACATTTATGTACAGGGTCGCTGGTATGTATGGAAACGGTCGATTGTTGTGTAAAATATACGCGGTAAGTTAAATATAAAATAGAAAACAAATTTCTTGCAGTATAGGTATATAATAAAATTATATAAGGATTCTTGCCACTTAACTGCTGATATAGAAATTTAATTCAACGCTGTGTTTGTCATAATGTGGATCAACCTGCTCTCACTACCGGTTTCGCAGCCCTACTCCATCATCAGGTGAGCCTGGGCAGATTCACAAAATGACAACCACAGCGCAGAGATAGTTAATTCCGACTTGTCGGAAAGTATCGGTTATATGTATATTAAGTCCCGATCGGGAGATAGCGGCCTGCGTGCAATGGTAGTATTTTCGTACCACTGAGGCGCAACTATCGATAGTAAAAGGACGGTAAATGGCTTTTTTTCAGGCAGGCCAAATTATAAAATAGAAAACAAATTTCTTGCAGTATAGGTATATAATAAAATAAAACCGGTAGTGAGAACAGATTGATCCACATTATGACGTAGAATTAAATTTCTATATCAGCAGTTAAGTGGCAAGAATCCTTATATAATTTTATTATACCTATACTGCAAGAAATTTATTTTCTATTTTATAATTTGACTTGCCTGAAAAAAAGCCTTTTACCATCCTTTTACTATCGATAGTTGCGCCTTGGTGGTACGAAAGTACTACCATTTGCTGTCCTCCGTTCGCGAACTTCAAGTTCCAGTGCTTTACGCCCTGGGCTACTCGAGAACGGTTCTGAAAGGAGCTGTGCGCAATAGCCTGGTGCCTTCATATGGCGCGGAACAGTTCTGAACTTTATGACTCAATTGAATGGAGTGAGTGATTTTATGTCTATTGGCAAGTAATAAATTTAAGTATACAGGGTCAGTCATAAAGTCGTGGCACATTAAAGTTTTTTTTTAAATATAACCCCCTGTTATTATTGCAAATTTCAATTCTTCCTTCAATTCTAAGCAAAAATAGAGCGACACAGAATGTACATTAAACCAACCGTTTCCGAGTTATTGACTTTTGAAAATATCACTTAAACAATTCAATTTAAATAATTTCGATGTGTTCGGTTTAATAAGGGTTTAATTTAACGATGCTATTCTGTAGAAACTGTGATACTTAATAATATTTGACATTAGTTTTCAAGTTATAGCATTTAAAGATGTATAAAATGAGATTACATCAAGTCTGGAAATTAAAGTACGTCTACTGGATCTGCGTCTAGGAAAGGAATGCGGACAAAAAACATTCAAATAAATACGCGGAATAAACAGCAATATATTTCGAGAGTTCACTTGGACTTGACGAGTATGTCAACGCAGAGCACTCCGCCCACTCATTTCATTGGCTACATGCAAATTCAAATTTGTCGATTTTTTATTGATGGGGCGCATCCTCTAATTTTTTACGAGAAACGATTCTTTTCCCCCTTTACGGATGCCCCGTAGCTACAGAACGGATAGACGTAATGTACAAAATCTTCGTTTAACATTTCAAACCCAAAACTCGATATCTCGGAAAGGGTTAAATTTAGGTACTTTATGTGTATTAGAATTTTTGCTTAAAATTGAAGGAAGAATTGAAATATCCAATAATATACCATTTAAAAAAATGAATCTTTGAGATGCCACGACTTTATGACCGACCCTGTATACTTAAATTTATTACTTACAGTTGTACAAATATAGGAAGAGACTTGGGGATAGCACCGGTCGCGTGTTATTTTATATTTCTCACGTCTCTAGCTATACTTGTTAAAAGTTGTTAAACATTTAAAAACCCTATAACTTTTATATTTAACTTTTTGCGGGACCTCGTATACTTTGCCCAATAATCAACCGTTTCCATACATATCAGCGACCCTGTATAACGTCAAAAACTAAAATATTCCACATACCAAAAATCGATCGGATTTTATTGGTGGCTCAGCATATCTAATGCCTTTAAAAACATAATGGGGAAAATCTCGAACTCCTGTTATTTTAGCAGCTTTTCCATTGAATCTTATGTAAACAACAGGGTCGTCATATGGAGGATAATTTGCAGGGGAGCCACCGACAATTCTTCGCACTCTGTGATGCACAGGTACATCACACAAAACTATTTTTATAATAAGGAGAAAGAAAAATGGTATAAACATTTTAATTTACACTAATAAATAACTTGATTTATATACATGTCTCCAATTTTATATAAAATATACACCGGAAACTAAAGTTCATATCACTATACACACCCACAACTAGTTACATTATCTTAAATATTGGACAAACACAATTTATTATACTCTTTATTAATGTGTTTATACTGTTTATTTTATATTTATTAGGTTTACTAGTCAAATTATTATTTTTTAAAGTAAAAAATATCAAAATTACATATGGAATAACATCAAACATCACAAATTAGATATTGTTTTTTTGAGTTAAAGTATTATCATCATAAGTCTCAAGCACATCTGCCAAATGCTCATTGTCTCTTGGCTTTTTGAACACCTTTTTTCGCTGTGTTGCCTTCTTACGTTTGATAGCTACAGGCTTTTTGGGGCCATGATCTTGCATAGACCTTATACCTTTAAACAATTTACTTAAATATTTATTTCTTATATATCACATGATTTTTACCTTGTTTGTCCAAATACTCTTCAATTTTTTGATCATCCATAGCATCTACTGCTACTGATCGCCACAGTTTTTGAAATTCTTCATCTATAGGCAATTGGGCAGTTCTATCATTATAAAATAAAACTTTTTTCTTGTCAATAGGCCTGGTAATAAAAATTATTTCATTTTGATTAGTTAAAATCTAAAAAAAGTGTGTGGTCAAATGCATTGGTAAATTATAAGTTTATTTACATACTTTTAATGCTTTCTCACAATGAGGTAGAGACTCTTGCACATCTTCTAATAACACACCACCAAGACCCTTTAAATCCTGCTGTTTAAGCAGTTTTAACAAACTTTTTCGATCTTTTAACTTGTAAGTAGCTTTGAAAATGTACTTTCCATCTGGAGTAACCTCAATTTTAGGATTATTAGTCAACGCTTCACTCTGTAACCACTATAACAAATAATGAAATAAATTGCATACATCTATTATAGTAATTAATAGAAAAATATCACTTGTTTGACTTTGTTTCCAACATCTAATTGGTTGGTTTCATCAAGTATTTCTTCTAAACTTAAAGGATATGACTCCCCATCCTGGTTTCTTTGTTTCATATGCTTCACAATCTTTGCTAACACCCCAAAACGATACTGAGTGCTACCAGTAGATGTCTTGTATCTAAAATATTTGTTCATATTAAATTGCGTTAAAGAAAAACACATTTTCTTACGAACTGATATCAATTTTAGGAACAGAACTAGTAATAGTTGGTTTGGTTTTTCTCTTTTCATCTCGAAGAGTCTCAGATTTGGTATCTAATTTTTTCTTTTCAACTCTAAAATTAAATAAATATAAAAAAGGCAACTGTCTCAGCCTGTAATTTTTAAATACGTACGTGGGTGTTATTAGAGCTCTTTTTTTAAACAATTCACGCTCTTTTAGTAGTGCTGGATCCATATTTACTTTCAAATTTCAAAATGAACTATATAATTTTATATACACATAGAGTTGTTGGTACCCCGAGTTGTTTTTTGCACCTAGGTGTATTTAAGAAAATTACTGTTTGTTAAATTCTTATAAATTTTTAAAATATTATGTTGTAGGCCATACCTGTAGACCATAGAGAAATATAAAACAAATTTAATAATAATTGTTACTGTATGCTATGGACTGTATGCTGTAGACATGCTGTAGACCATCTGTAGACCTTTCTGTAGACGGTCAAGGGTAGACGCATGGTAGACGCACAGGTAGACGGTAGGCTGTGAAGTAGGTTACTTTCATGATACAAAGAATACAAGGTATGATATTGCGCAGGTTGGTCACTACGTCACAGGTGATAAACGGCACCATTGGTCGGCAAGCTCTGCGCGCCAATTTTAAATTGTCAAACAGATTGTGTCATCTGTGAAATTTGATTGTGTCAAAATGTGAAAATAATTTTTCAAATGTCAAGCTCGATGTCAAAACATAACTTTTGGGGTTATGTCCTAATTCTTCCCTATTTTAGGTCTTTTTTTTTTTTTTTTTTTTTTTTTTTTTTTTTTTTTTTTTTGTATGGCGAATGACGTCACAGGTGGTATGCGCAAACTTAACAAAATTGGAGCCGCTATCGATCATACCTTGTTTTTCTTTGAGTACTATGGGGTTACTATCGTTAATCATCGTATCTGGATAGTTAGGACGGTGACATGCCTGAGCACGATGGGAGTAGGCCAATAGGGCAAGAGTAAAGGTGAAAATGGACCATAGAAGTGAGGATATATTAAAATACGCAACCAACCGTCATTGAACCGTCCAATCAGATCAAAGGAGTAATCGTCGTAGATCGTGCGTTATCGATAATGTTCGGTGCCTGGAGAAAATTGACAATTGACAAGAGAATTGGAGGTGGCGGTATTCGTCCTACGGGGTATTTGTCCTACCAACCGAACGTCACTTCGGGCATGTTCGGTAGTCCTAAAAATTCCTGTTTCAGGAATTTTGTCCTGGCTAACGTACTAAATCTGTTTTTTTTTTTTTTTTTTTTTTTTTTTTTTTTTTTTTTGGAAAATTTGACCAAGATTAACCTCAGAAAAGGTTTAAAATTATAATTTTAAACTTTTTTTTTTTTCATAAAATAATGTTATGAAATAATGTAATAGACATGGATATAAAATAATCCGGAAATATTTACAATACAAGCACTAAACAAATAAGGGTGATAGCAACACGAATTACTTTGATAATGTGTTTTTTTATATAAGAATACGTCTACATGGGTTGAATCTCAGGTGTGTATCTAGATAATATGTATTCAAACAAAGCTGTAAAAACGATTAAAACAATTTTTAGAAAAATATTTTTTTTTTTTTTTTTTTCGTGAAAATAAATTAGCCGTGATTTGCGGAAAAAATGTTCTTAATTTTTTTTTTTATATTTTGCATAGAAAAGTCTGCATTATGTGATATTGTTTTAATTGCAAGATCGTAGCTTACAAAAATTCATTCTTCAGGAAACAGCACGGGCATGTATTAGGCATAATAAGTAATTATAAAAATATGAACAAAAATGAGATGGTTTAAAAGAGTGAAAATTATTAAAGGTTGAGAGAATCTGAAACTCAAAGGAAAACTGATTAAAAACTGATAAATAAGTACCGTTAAACTGGAAAAGCAAACTAGTAAGTATTTATTATGAATCTATTCACTATACAACATTGTGGTATTTTACCGAAAATGTAATTCTTTTGAAAATTACAGCTATGCGCATAATACAAAAGACGATTTACCTTCTTTAAAACCATAAGGCATATGATATATGAGATAGGTAGGTATGTACCATGGGGTAGGTACAAATAGTGATTCGAAAAAAAAAAACGGCGGTCAGTTGGCTTATGAAATGAAGATCGGTGTCTTTTATATGTAAAATTATATAGGGTAATATTGTCAGGAATGTCATTTCCAAGCCAACTGGACGCCGTTTTTTTCGACTATATGAAGAACATAAGTGGTCAGCCTTCCTAGACCAACTGACCATTATATTATACTTCTAGGCACAAGGCATATCGGCCAAGCCCTTAGGTTGGTGTTTACCGCGTGTAGGTTGTGAATCGCTAGGTGAATCTGGTCGGTAGATAGAAAAAATATAAAATATTTATTCATCAACCAACACTTTAATTCTGATGATTTCATATGCATTCAATACCAAGTTCAATACATCTGATTGTAATAAGCATATGGCCAATCATCTCTTCATAATACATGAAAAACGTTCATATCTTGTGTATCACATAGCACATTTAAGAGGACTGATCCTATAAAGGCATTTATTTTTGTTTTTTTATAACCTTCGTAACTCTTTTTTGTAGTTTATTGATATTAAGCTCTAGGATAAAAAACCTGCTTAGACAGAACAAGGGTATTTTTGAATACTTTATTTAGAAAGTGCTTGTCAAGGACAATGTATGATGAGGAGTACAGGAATACTTGACGTAGGGAGAGAGGGGAGACTTCAGGATCCCTTCGGGAAATTTAGATGATGCGCGTAAAACTCGGGATTAGTCTGAACATTAAAGCATAAGGTCTCTTTCCATACATGTTGCAAGTTTTTATAAATTTTTTTTTTAAAAAAATAGAAATCAATATAACAGAAATCAATATAGGTTTACATTCTTATTTTACAGCGTGTTGACCGACTCTCATACACACAAAATCGGCAACCCAAGGCCTGAATGCCACCTCTAGTTATACCTATTTCTATGTAATAAATATTTTTTTAAGTAATATTTATTTGTATTATTAACTTCTAGATTAAAATATTTTTAATCAGTCTGAGAATCAATATAATTTAATTTTTAAAAAATTAAATTTTTTTGATTAAAAGCAAAAATGGATTTAATTTAGTTATGTCAAAATATATAAGTTAATGTATTTTTTAAGAAAACTCTGTATTTTAAATTGCAAAAGCTGATAAGAATTTCAAAATTTTTTTTTCAAAACTAAAAAAAAAGTATCGATCTGAATTAATTTTTTCAAATATACCAAGAAAAAAATATCTATCTTAAAGTTGCAGCTGTGGTTGCAATACTCTGTATTGCTAAAAAACATTTTTATTTATTAAAATTACAAATTACGGTATAAAGTTTATAAAAAGTACTTTATAAAAAAAAAGATCTTCCAATTGTCAAGAAAATAATAAAAAGGGAAAATTCTGAAATCTACAGAAATTTCTTTTTCACTTTATTCCAATTATGTTAATGAGATTGAAAGTAAAGACTATGGAGAGCTTATTCGTAGTAAAGTAGACTAGTTATAGTTTAGTTATTCTGTGTATAGCAAAGACTACCTGTAACGACCCCTAAGTATTTTTAACTTAATATGTATTTCTTGCCTGAAGTGCCTTGGGACAAAACCGGTAAAATAATAAGAACAATTAGGTGAGCAAAAGGAAATTCAAAAAACCCGTAATAGTAAAGTTTGATTAAAATACAAATACATATAAATATATATATAAATATACTGTAAAAATCAAAAAAAAAAAACAGCTGGAAGAGCAGCACAATTTTTTTTCAATTGTATAGTACTGTATGATCGAAAAAAAAAACGGCGGTTGCCAAGTTAGGTTTTGTTTTTTAATGATTATCGATGACATTCCCCATATTAATTTAAATATAAAATGACAAGCAATCTTTATTTCATATTTGCCGACACCACTGTGACCATTGTTGTATTAATTCTTATTACTAATGACTCCCAATCACTTTTTTGACAATAATCTAATAAAGAAAATTAGAAAAAAAAAAAAAAAACATTTTTATATTATAAAGAATTATTTTTTTTTTTTTTTATTTCCATTTTTCCCAATAATTACCGTCATTTTTACTCCGAATAGGACATGCTATTTTTTCAAACGTCACAAATATTTTTTTTTTTTTTAAACAATTTCAACTTTGCAAATAATATAACAAGATTTAAAAGATAATCCTTTGTAACTACATTAAATACCGTAATGATCGAATAAAAAACGGCGTCAGCGATGGCTATGCAAATGACAATCGATGACATTTCCCATATAAATTTACATATACAATTTTTTTTTTTTTTTTTTTTTCATAGCCATCGCTGAGCCGTTTTTATTCGATCATACGGTACTTTATATCGGAGAAACTATGGTTACACTCGTTGAATTGGACACTTTATATCAGTTTAATATATATTTTCGTACTTTGTGCCTTATGCGTAAAAGTGCTTTATTTTTAAGCCTAGGCAATTAAAAATTACTTTTTATTTATAAAAAAAAAAAAAAAAATTATACTTTTGTTGCGTTTTTGAAAAAAAAGAAATTCCAAAAAAAAAAAAAAAAAAAATAACAATCTAAATTAAATTGAGCCGAAAGGAGTCAGTTCTGAACACACATACGTGGTTCTGAAATCAGGTTCTTATTTATTTTTAAAAGAACATAAAATAAACAAAAAAATTAAAGTTAGTAGATATGTTCAAATAATAAGTAAATTAGAAATTTTTAAGAAAACCCTTATTTATTTAATTGTGAAAAACTGATGAATTTCATAATATCTTTCATTAGAAAATTAAAAAAAAAAAAAAAAAAAAAAAATATTGAATTAAAAAACGAATATTACAGAAATTAAGTTATAAAGTGAGTTTAGTTATAGTTAAGTTCACCATATTGTCAAGAAAAAAAAATTATTGCTTTTAAATTAAAGAAATTATGTGCAAGTTAGGTTAAACTACAAGTTAAAACAAATATAGATAATCAATAAGTTTTTTGATAAAATTTGCTTTTTTATGTCAGATCACTTCTATGAAAAATTACATAGAATAGGAATACATAGATTTTTATTCAACAGACGCGCATGGGTAATTAAAACATTGACTAATAAACCTTTTCCATTTTAATATAAGAGGTCACGACATATTCCCTTGGGATCTTTGTGAAGAGTGTAAGGGGTGTATAAATAACATTAATCCTTGTTTATAAATAAAACCATAAAACATTATTTTGTGAGTTTAAATAAACGCCTGCCCTCGCCTGTCATAGGCAACCAAAAATACATTGATAGAAAAATCTTGTAACTTTAGATTAACTTTAGTAATTATGTCAATAAACTCATTAATTGGGGGCTGCCTCTAGTCTATTATATTTAATGTACAAGAATAAATATTATTGAGATTTTTAATCATAGATTAAATATTATTAATATCTAAAGTCATTAAGTAATAAAAACTATTTGTGTACCCATTTAATGCCAATAAGAAGGTCACGTGAAAATATACCTGGTAAGTACAAG